TGGATCTTCTCGGGGTTGACTTCAATTCCCCAATGGTTAACCATATACCCCAGGAATTTTTCTAAAGATACTCTGAATGAACACTTAAGTAGATTAAGTTTCCTTTTATATCTCCGAAGTATATCAAACATTTCCGCGAGGTTTGCTATGTGATCTGAAGCAACATGCGATTTGACCAGCATGTCATTGACATAGACCTCCATTGATTTCCCGATCTGCTCGAAAAACATATGGTTAACCAAATGATGGTAGGTTGCCCCAGCATTTTTCAAACCGAAGGGCATGACTTTGTAACAGTACAGTCCTCGATCTGTCATAAACTAGGTATGCTCCTCGTCAAGTGTGTACATCAGGATCTGATTATATCCCGAGTACGCATCCATGAAGCTTAACAGCTCATGCCCGGAAGTGGCATCAACGAGTTGATCAATTTTGGGCAAAGGAAAATTGTCCTTTGGACAAGATTTGTTGAGATTCGTGAAATCAACACAAGTTCACCACTTGCTATTGGGTTTCTTCACCAAAACAAGATTGGCGACCCAACACGAGTAATGAGCCTCCTAAATGAACCCGATTGAGAGGAGTTTATCCACCTCAACCTTAAGAGCAGCATAATGTTCTTGGTCCATGTCTCTTCTTTTCTGGCGAACTGACCTGACCTCACTATCGATGTTGAGTACATGACATATTACATTCGGGCTGATCCCGACCATGTCAGCATGAGTCCATGAAAAAAAATCTATATTATGTCTGAGGAAACTCGTTAGATCGGTAACAAGCTAAAGGCTAAGATTGCTTCTGATTCTCAACACACGAGTCAGCTTATTCTGGTCGACTGATACCTCAGATAGAGTCTCAACAGGCCCACTGTGGGAATAATCCTCATGAACACGAGGATCTATGTTGTCTTTCACTAGACCTGGCTGTGGTTCAATCCTACTGATCACCATAGCCTGCTCGGGAATGCCCACTGGCTTTCCTTTCTCTTTGCATGCCATCTACACTACTCTTACATAGTAATCGCGAGATTCATGCTGAGACCCCTTGACTTCCCACCCTGTCAGAGTGGGAAATTTCATCTTCAGATGATAGATGGAGGTGACAACTTTGAAGTTCCGAAGTAGATTGGTCATCCCAATATGCCATTAAAAGCGACAAATAGTCTACCAATAGAAACTCTGTCATCTTAGTCACTTCGTGGGTCTCACCCAAAGTGACAGGAAGTGCAATCGTTCCCTTGGGAATCAAATGATCACCAGCAAAGTCATAGAGGGGGATAGAGGCAGGCTTCAGATTTTCCTCTTCCAATTGCATTTTCTCGAATGCTCACTGAAATAGAATGTTCATGGCGCTCCCATTATCCACCAACATTCTATGAACTTCGCACCACCCTATTTCAGCCATGATGACGAGTGAATCATCATAAGGGTGATGCAATCATACCACGTCTTTCTTTGAGAAGGTAATCTTCTCCTCTCTGCGCACCTTAGCAAGTCGCAGTGCCGTGTTTAATACACTCACGGGATCATGATGAGCTTATCGAGCGTACTTTTCTAGAGCACCTTGAGAATTCCCCATAAGGTGTGGTCTTCCAAATATAATCCCAACGAAATGGAGACCCTTGCAACCACGATTCTTCTTCTCATCACCCTCTTGATCCTTCTCCCGAGTGGGAGTTGGACCATCAACATACTCCTTGAAGTGTCCTTTTTAATGAGGTTTTCAATAGCCTGCTTAAGAGCTCGACATTCATCAGTATGATGCCCATTATCCAGATGATAACGACAATACTTCTTGCTATTTCTTATTCAATAGCCTGGACGGCGCAAAGTCTTCCTGAACTTTGATTAGTGCTTGCTAACGTAAGCTTACATCAGCCTTGGTTTTTTAGGCATAACAAAACTATTAAGGAAGAAATAGTCAGAGATTGCAATGTTGTTCCCTTATTTTTTTGAATTGTAAAACTTTGTTATTTAAAAGAATTATTAATATATTTTTAAAAAATAAAAAGAACTCATTTAAACACCTATTTTAATAATTTTACATCAATCAAATTTACCCTTCTTTTGGTAAAAGCAATTTCAGAGTTACCTTAAACAAGCACCTTATAAACTGATTATCTGTAAAATTACGTCATAAATATTTAATAGATACATTACATTACACTAATCTCAAACTAAGCTTAAATTTGATACGATGTGTTTAGGCATACAAAATCAATCAAACTTTGTTAGATATATATTTATTTTAAAAACATAAATTAATTGATATTTATTAGATTGTGATACACTTGAAGGATGTTTATTTTACACATAACAAGATATAGTATATGAATTGTCATTTCCACTTTATTGCTACCAGGCAAATTTTGATCCAATCCAATACCCTATCCAAGCAGTCATTGACAAGTTATTCGCAAGTCTACGAAATCGTGCAAGTAGTAAAGCTCGAGTAAACGAGTGTCGAATCCCAAGAGAACTACCTACCAAATACCAAACTAGTCTATTTTATTGCTATTTGATAAAAACAAGATTTTAAGAATGAATTAATAAAAAATAAAACAAACTAAAAAGTAACAAAAGCAGAATTTTATTAATACTTTGGTAAAAATATCAATATGACCAAACCTAGGGCACAAATTTCACACCAATTTAATCCTATACATTGACAATTATTGTTAACCTAATTAAGCTTATTCTAAAGGCTAAACTCCATAATATTCCACTAACTTTCTCTCGAACAATTAGCAAATTAACCTTTAAGCAACAATCTAAAATATCTCTAAGTTGGATTTAGAAGCTAAGAGATCATTAAGTTCTATGAAATTTATTAGAGCCTTATAGATCGCGGTAATCTATTTCTAGCGTTCGCTCAATCTATGGTTTTATTACCTTATACTAATCAGGTTTTATCTCTCGATCTGAACCCAACCCATAAAATCATTCAACTCTCGGGCCTTTAAGAATTGAAAACATTACACACAATAATAAAACTTAGAATTAATGCTTAATTTAAAATCAACAACAATAACGTCAATATATATTCATAAATTTGGCTACATCTTTAGCCCTAAAAAAGGGATTTAGTTCATAATTGCAGTAATAAAAACAATCATTGTATTAACAAACATGAGTTCAAGAAAAAAAAAATAGAAAAACTTCTCTGATTGGCGAACGAGAACTATAGGAATTCTGATCTCCAAAATAGTAGCCGCTCTTTCTCCTTCTCTAATCTCCCTAAAAACTAATTAAAGACCTTTATTTATAGTGCTAGGGTTTGGAGGTTAATTAGGAAAGAATTAAATGCCTTAAACCATTCAGATTCGGACTAGGAGAATACAATAACCCAAACAAGCCCATGATCCATCGCTGTGGTGATTGTTCTTTCTATCCCACGAGTTTAGAATCTTCAGAATTTAGTGAAGTCATCAACAAACTTTGTAGCTCTCTGAATAAGCTTTCCAACGCCACAAGAATCATCGAATTTTGATTTCTACAGCTCAAGTTATGATCGAAACATCGAAGCATGCTCATCTTGAAGGATTTCCAAGTTTTACATCGTATCTTCAATGCGTCACAACTTTCTTGTTTCAACTCCGATTCTTACACCGTTTTTTCCTACTCGTCACGAATTCCATCAACATCATTCTTCTTCCTTCAAATATCATTTTTAACTTGAAAATACTCAAAACACACCCGTGATCCCGTAAAAGGTATTTATGAAGTAATTAACTCAAATTTCACAATAAAAACACATTTTTCCACAAATAATCTAATTGAATCACTAACAAAATATGTATTTTCAAGCTCTTATCAGTCATTAAAGTTGGATTTAAGTCAAAGTGACCGAGTGGTTTGATAGGGACTTTTAGATATATTACTCAAGAGGTCCTGAGTTCGTGCCTCTCCTCGGTTGCTAATAAAGGTAGCCACTGGAGCTCTTACCCAGCCGATAGTTTCAGGGTCTTGGGGATTAATTGAAGTGCATGTAAGCTAACTCAAACACCCCCGATCATTAAAAAAAAAGTTGGATTTAGGTTGTAAAACCTATATAATTATTCACAAGTCATAAAAAATAAGGGTATTAATAAAAATTATAAGAAAAAAACAAGGTTTTGATATATAAAATAATTCAATTTAATTTGTGAAAGTAATTTAATTAATTATTTCATATAATATAGGACTTCAATAGTTGTTACCAAGAGTGCTCACATGAATTTTGAAAATTAAATTACATTTTTTTTATTTTTTTTTTTTTGGGTATCCGGAGGTATCCGAACTAGCTTGCGCATACCGCAACTAGTCTCCGTTAATGGGCAAATAAGTCTCCTTCTTTCTTTCATACTTTTATGTATTTCGCTCTTATACATGTTTATATTTATTTTAATATGAGGGTTTAATATATTTATTATCATTTCGTTAAAGTTTCTGTCATCTAACTAACACATTATGTTAAATTCACTAAATTGAACACCATAACTCCAATAAAACATTGATGACAGAAGTTAAATTGTTATTTCAAAATACATGAGGAAGAAAATTTATGCGAGGAAATCTCAAGAGGTAAACTATTTGAAACTCTTAATATTAGCATCGAGAAGTTTTACGTTAGATGATGTAGCATCTAATAAGATTTTTTGACAAAAAAAAAAATTATTTTAAAAATAGTTAATTATATTGCCACCTTTAAATTTGGTGCAAAAACCGGGTCACTAGCGATTTATTCAAAACATATTTTCTGCACCTTCAACTATTACATTTAATTGACAAAAACACCATTTGGAGCACCAACGTTAATCTTTCAAAAGTGGGAGGGGGAAGATTCTCGGTGCTAAACCTCAGGGATGACAATGGAATAAAGCTTTCTAATAAGGGTGTTTAGAAGACACATATTCGTCCTACCAAAGACCTTTTCATTATGACAAATTTCTTATATTTAACTTTAGGACTTAACTCCATTAGTGACACTTCAAGGCAATTTCCATTTCTAAACCTCACTAATGATCCAATATCCTCAACCCGAAAAAATATATATCAATTGGTAAAGAAAGAATATACAGTGAAGGCAGAAGTAGCCATGATCATGATCATTACAGAAGCTTAAAATACTTTTAGAAACATTGAAACTGATATGAGTTTTTCAATAAAAGGGCAGGCTATAGCTAGAAAGTAACCAAATTATTGTTCTGCTGCCAATTTGCAAGCATGTTTTTCTATAACCTGGGTGCAATACGAGGCTGAGGAAGATCCCAATCAGTGACAATGTGATCGCGAGTGATTTCTTTCAGTGAACGGCAACCACTTAGTGCCATTGTCAGCTCGAATTCATCATGCAGCATTTGAAGGGCTTTTCTTACTCCGGCCTCTCCCTCAGCTGCCAAAGAGAACACCACTGGTCGTCCAATCTGAAAACAGAAATATCATCATTCATTTCATGACTTGAATGAAGCATAATGTACATTGTGCATATGTTAATGCCTTAGTGGCGCGTTGGTGGTAATAATACTTACAAATATGCCAGAAGCTCCTAGAGCCAAGGCTTTGAAGACATCTGTTCCACGCCTAACGCCACCATCCAAGAACACAGGAACTCGTCCTTGAGAAGCTTTCACGACCTGAATTTAAGAAGAAAAAGAAAAGCTCATGTCATGTGTAAGGGGTAATCTGTATTCGATCAAAATTATCGGCATTTGTGCATGATCATCTTTACTTACCTCTTCCAGGGCCATGATTGTGGCAGGGACATAGTCAAGTTGACGAGCACCATGGTTGGATACAATGATCCCAGCTGCTCCAGCCTGTATGGAAAGCCTTGCTGCATATCCGGTGTAAAAAAAATTGTTTCAGAGTCCACTGGTTTACTTGGTGACAGACTTAAAATAAACTGAGGAACATTGCTCTTACCATCCTCTGCTGTGAGCACACCCTTCACTAGAATTGGCAATTTGGTGATGGTCTGAAGCCACTTGATGTCCTATACACATTCCATAAGATATGACATTCCAAATTTCAGGCAAAACTCCCACAGCACTTTATTTTGCGTTTATCACATTCTAAATTTTCACCTAATGCTCAAGACAGTGAAAGGAAGTGTCTTTTTTGTCGAAAGTACAGCTAATTCAAAGCGTTCGTGCTTAACAAAACTATACATGATAGTATAATTGCAGATAAATTAATCCATGAGTCTGCAAGTGATTGTAATATACCTTCCAGCTCAGAGTACGATCAATTTGACCAGCAACATATGAAGCAAGTCCAGAGTCATCTGCCTGTTCGGCACCATAATAGAAAATAAGAACCATATAAAATAAAACTCATCAATCTGAATCATCTTTGCCAAGTTATTTAAAGAAATTGCATTAATGACACTTACTTCATTCATCTTGCCAAGGTCCAAACCTTCGAAATTCTTCAATGTCAAAAATGGTGGTAGAGTGAATCTGTAAGGAACTAATCAGCAGCAGTCTAAAATTGAATATAAAACTTTAACTCCTTACAGCTAAACTGATTTGGTCACATCAGAATTCAGAAAAACAACTCAATTGCATCTTTTGAGCAAGTGATGCGTTGAAAACAAGTTTAAATTGAGTTGTTAACCTGTTTTTGATGTCAGCTTCCCTTCGACCAAGCCTTGGGGTATCAACTGTGAGAGCAATAGCCTTGAATCCAGCTCTTTCAGCTCTCCTCACAAGCTGAGCAACTACATTCCTGTCCTTGTACACCTAAATGATATAAACAGCGAGAATCATTAATCAGATAAAGCCAAACAGTTATTTTCTGATGCCGAAAATGCAGATCAGTTAATTTATTTAACCTATAAAGGACATCAAACATGTTAGTTAGACTTACATAAAGCTGGAAAAAGCGGATGCCAGGTCCTGTTGAAGCAACCTCTTCAACACTTGAAGTAGCCCATGAAGACAAAGTCTGAAAATCAAGCAAAGCACAGAATACTCTTAGATTGAAACATCTAATGAAGCAAAAGCATAATTATATCCACAAATGAAATGAATATCCTAATCAAAACATATTTGTGGCAAGCGCTAGTGAGGTGAAAGCATTTCCATGGTTGTTTCAGAAGCATATTTGCAAGTAGTCAACTCTGAAATCCTCGTCTGAGAACCAACTTGCAAAATAATTATCTGCACCAAACTTGACCTAGGGCTTGCAAATAGATAGGACATATATCCAACAACTCAGGGATGAAACCAATAATCAACCATTTTGAAGTTTCCTGGATGAGTGGCATAAATTAAAATTCTAGTCCATACACTTCCCTCAAGTTTTATGTCTTCAACAATTTCATATCCTCAAGTCTCGATAAATCACTTACGTGTTTCACCGGTTAGCAGGAAAACTCAATTCATGATTAGAAACTTGAAAAAGAACTGAATGAGAATTGGAACAATCTTTTCAGCTGCCTTCAATATCCAACTTAGAGAAAGGGCAATGATTTATGGTGCGGAGTTGCTTAAGGGACAAGAATACATATTCAAGTTCGAAAATATAAAAAGGAGGCAAGCCAAACCATAATTGTTCCAGCTGCTGATGCGGCTCTAGCAGTAGCATACTCCCCTGCATGCGAAAGAATGCTATCAGATTGAAACCACATTTTGCTTCAAACCGATTAATATTCTTAGCTGTTTTCTCAGAAGTCCACATCTAATTACAAGGTTAATTTAATCAGAGTACAGTGTTGTAACAAAACACAGTTACATCAGTAAAAAAATAAAACTAAAAAATTTCTTATATACCCTTTCATGATACTTTTAATCACTGCAACATTTCAGTTTCAAACTAAAGGAAGAAGTATTGATTCCAAAACTTGTTCATAGAACTTTCCAACTTTTCTTTCAGTTATATAGGCAATGAAAAATTCTAATGGACTAAGTTTCCGGATAAAAATATTAATACTGACCACATAATTTCAATCAAGTCAAGACTTAGACTTAACTTATACTTCCATTAACCTCAATATATTCATACACTAAAACACACTTACAAATTACTCAACCAACCATTTTTCAACGGAAACTATGACATGTACCTTCAGGATGAGCCATTTTCTGCATGGCTGTTGGGGCAATCATGATTGGCATGGATATTTTGAAGCCCAGGACAGTGGTAGTCATGTCAATTTTGCTTACATCAATCAGAATCCGAGGTCGAAACCTAGTAATTAACAATCACCACAGAATTTTTAGAGAAATTCAAAGCAATTTTGTGAACAAAGAAAAGATTATACATAACCAATCGCTTTATCTGAGGTCTATTTCCATAAAAGTAACAGATAGAAAGCTCACAGAATCCTGGAGAAAGCATATCTGTTCTCACGCAAAGTCCACTGGTCCTCTGCACCTGAAGCATAGTAATCAAACACCATCTTTGGCAACTTTTGCTTTGCAATGGCTTCAAACTCCGAAACATTGGTGATTTCCTCCATCTTTTTGGTTTCTTTTTTTTTTTGTCCTTAATTATCTATATTCAACAACAAAAATTAAAAATTAAGCTCAAAACTTTACTCATGTAGAACAACAAAACAAAACAAACCCAGATATCCAACTTCAAATTAAGTATACTATTCTAACTCAACTCATTAACTAAAACACCCACAGGAGAAAAACAAAGAAAAAACTTGTTATAGATAAGGAAGAGTAAATATGTACCTCAGAGTAAAGGACTATGCAACAAAGTGCAGGCAGAGAAACCAGTGAAGATTAGATTTATAAGAAAGGAGGAGAGAAATTAAGAGAATGCAGTACAGAAAAGTGATGGAAATCTATATATACTAGAATGCATGGAGACAAAAGAGGTGGGGTTGAATGAGAAAGATAATGAGAAATAAAATTGAAGGGAGTTGCAGCGCAGTACATTACAAGTTGAGTGGATGAGCATTTGGAGGTGAGCGTTTGAGTACAAATCTTATCAGGGCAAATGGGTGGCTCTCATCCACATAAACTTTGTGTGTTTCATAGATTTTCTTCTTCATTATCGCTGTTATCATCTTCAAAAATAATAAATATGGAAAAAAAAAAAAAAAATTTAACAGATTGAATTATCGGCGAGTCAAGTGAGTGAAAGATACAGACAAGAATATATGGGTTGCATGATATGGTGCGGTTGCTCTCCCTCTATCAGTTTGAAGTTGGAAGCTTAATGGGTTGATTGTGGGTCGGGTGGTCGGGTCGGGTTGGACCCATCCATGATTTATTGTCAAGGTTTTTCAAGATGAGAGATTTAGAGTAGGTTGAGTTGACTTGTCAATCTTTATCATAGCTTAATGGGAATTATTGCTATTTTTATAAAGTTTTCAAAGAAAGTTTAATCAAGTGTAACCCTACTCGACCCTACAAATGGATAATTTCTAAAATAGATTCAATTTTTTTAACTTTTTTAGAATTTTAAAATACTTTCTAGTAATGTAATAATATTAAACTAATGCACACACGTTGCATTATAATTTGGTAAGAAAACAATTATTCCCACACCCGAACCACACAAGTTTGTATTTGGACTTCACGTGAGTTTGTTCACTCAAATATGTCTTAACAGTTTAAGAGTTTCATAGGGTACAACTGCATTTACCTCTCATTCCCGAACAATGCGGGATGTAATATGGTCGCATGAAAACTTGAGACTTCTCATATACCATTCTTTATGTTATAAGAAATATTCCTTTAAAACTTTGGGTCATTCATTCTTCGATTAATCTCTTTTAAGTTCTTAAAAATCTTTGTCATGAATCTGTTTATAACAGATTTGTTTATCACGTAGTCATAACATGTAGGGTGAGCATGGGTAAAGGGTTCTTTTCGGTTCCAGTTCTGGAAAATTGGAACTGAGAGTTCCCAGGTCCAGTTCTGGTTCCTACAATGATAGAACCAAGAATCAGAATCGAGATCGAGATCCAAGTACCCGAGTAAGAACTAAGACTAAATTTAATTTTTGTAAACTATTGAGGATGTATTTATAATTTTTTTGGGTGTATTTGTCATTTTTCAAAAAGTTGAGGGTAATTAAAATTTACCTAGGTACCTAGAATCGGAACCGAAACCTATGTTTCAGGTTTCGATTCCAGGCTTCTAGGAACCGAAACTGGCTAGTTCCGGTTCCGGTTCTGATTCCAAATCTTAGGAACCAATCAGTTCCGGTTCCGATTCGGATTCCTTCAAAAAATACAAGGTACTCGAAACCAAGCACCCCTAATAACATGTATTCCTTTTTTGAAATTTATTATTTAATTTTACAAGATTACACTAATTAATTTCTTTTAACAAAACATGAATGAAGTATAGTTTTTTTTATAATAGACCTATAACATCAATGACAAACTAGCAAACGATTAACTTATAGTTGTAAATAATAATAAATAATGATCAAATTGTTCAAATGTTGTTAACATTGATTTTATTGAAAACTATATGGTAGAAAGAAGAACAAAGGCTTTGTATCCTAATCCTTTTGAACAAGGACACAACCAAAAAAATTATTTTGAGGGAGCCAAAGTGTTATGTTAAGCTAATAAGGGGTCCATAATACAACAATAAATTTAAGAAGTTGCATTTAAAGGGGTAAAGATGTTAAGTTTAAAAAATGAGAGTATCAAACTAAACTAACCTTTTAGGATGAAATTGATATTTTTTCAATATAAATTCTAAAAAATTTTTATAGCTCCACCGTTGCTTTTGAAATACATGTGATCATGATTTTTGGGCCTGTTTGATACATTATCTGAAATACGATATTCTGAAAAACTATTCTGAATAAGATATGATAGGATTAAATCAAATAGGATAGGATTCTGAGAATGTGTTTGGTATAATATCTGAAAATTATATCAGAATTAGATAAAAATATAGAATAGTTGATTAGTACATTTTTGGAAAACATTTTCTGAAAATATTTAGATTATTTTAACCCCCTACATTTGTTAATTTATCTAAACACCCCCCCCCCCCATACAATCAAAGTTTATAAATTAACAAAAACACCCTCACCCACCCAATCGACTGTCGGTAGCCGGCCACCACCACCAGACGACAGCCAACAGTCGTCCGAATGGCGCACGGTTGGCTGTATTTGGAAGGTCGTGCAGTGATCTGGCCTTTTCTAGCCAGATCCATAGTGGATCTGGCAGGAAACAGCCAGATCTATGGCCAGAATCTAGCCGAAATGGCCAAATCTATGACCAAAATCTAACGACAACCAAGATATGGTCATCGTCAACGGCCAGATCAATGCATGATCGGTCAGATCTGGTCAATCGTGCATCGTTCCGACGCCAACGGCCGGCAGTGGCGACTAGCGACCAATGGTGGTTGTTGACGGTCGATAGTAAATAAACACATATTTGAATGTAGACAAAAAATCATATTTGAATCCCATTTGAGTTAGATTAATTTTCTGAATGAAATGACCTAATAACTAAACAAACACATATTTTGTTTTTCAATCCAAATAGGATAATAGAAAAGTCACTCGAAAGAATGAAACAAACAGGCCCTTTATTTTTATTTTAAATTGATAATTAGTATCTAGGGTTTATCAAAGTGTCATTCTTGAGGTTTGACACGAAAACCTTTCATCTTCCAATTTTGGGAAATTAGCGTTGTTATCCTCAAATTGCATTTATGTTAATTGAATGTAGTTATTCAAGGGGTTAGAAAAAATATTTTGAATAACAAAAACGCTAGTTGGATCAATTGATCCGAATCAAATAGGGATATATTTGACTTTTCATAGGGTGATCCATGTATAAAAAGACCTATTTGCCCTTGGTGAATTAATAAGTAAAAAAGTGATATAATGGTGAGACAGAGAAATTTCATTCTCTCTCTCATCACTAAGTCTGGAAATCAAATTCCAATGAAATATTTTCAAAATCTTGGAATGTGTTTGTTTTATTATTTTGGATATGATTTTTGAAAAAGTTGAGTTGAGTGGTTATTACGAGGTAGGATTTGAAAATTAACAAAAACACCTCCTAGGTTTGTTAATTTAGCTAAACACCCATACAATAAAATATTAAAAATTAACAAAAACACCCCCACCCACCCATTAAATGCTGGCAATCGGCCACCACCGTCGAAGGGTGGTCGAAAGTCGCTGTAATGGCGCACAATCGATTGGATTTGATAGGTCATGCACTGATATGGTCTTTTCCGGCCAGATCCACCATGGATCTGGCCGGAAAAGACCAAATCTATAGCTAGATCTGGCTATTGACGACTAGATCTGGCCATATTTGGTCGACAACGATAGCCAAAGATATAGCCATCGTTGACGACCAACTACAGCCAAAGATCTGGCCGTCAACGGCTAGATCTTTAGCCGTAGATCTGGCCTTTTCCGGCCAGATCCACGGTAGATCTAGCTAAAAAAGGCTAAATCAGCGCACTACCGCCAGATCTAGCCGATAGTACACCATTACTCCAGATTCCGGCTATCTTCCGGTGGTGGTGCCCTGAATCTAGCAAATGTGTGTGGGTGGGTGGGGGTGTTTTTGTCAATTTATAAATTTTTTTTTGTTGAAGGTGTTTAGTTAAATTAACAAACCTTGGGGGTTTAAAAATAGTTAAATAGAATTGAATTGAATTTTTAGAATAAGGAAACAAATATGTATTTTAGGTAAAATAGGAATATGACAAGGTAGAAATATTAAAACAAACACAGCCTGATTTATTGTACAATATTGGATTTGTTACCAAGAAGATGTAAATGTTATAATAAATCTATATGAAATAAGTTTGAAAGTCCCCTTTTACTGCAACACAAACTACACACTTGTATTTATCAATTTGAAATCATCTTAGCATCATTTTATTTATCAATAAAAATTAACCAACATAATTGAGTCGATTTTTACTTCCTTTTTAAATCTAAGAGCAACGATGCTTTTTTTTTTTTATAATTAAAATAAATTGTATTATGCAACATTTAAGATATATCATTGGATTGAAAGAGATAAGGTTAAGTAGAAAATCTAATAAAAAGATGAAATGGAATTAATTAGAAAATGTTTCAACTGGAATTTATTAAAAATGTGTCCCTTTAAGAATCTTATAAAATTATCTCATTCGAATCTCTTCTANTATGTATGTAATAGGTCATATATACTACATACCATAAATATGCATGCCATATATAGAGTGTATCATATATATCTTTACATGTTGTATTTCATATGTCATATATATGATGTACCATATATATATATATACATTTATTTGTACATGTCATATATATAGTATACTATATATATATATATGGCATAAATATGTGATAAATATGGTACTATAATAATATGGTACTATATATGTATGTAATAGGTCATATATACTACATACCATAAATATGCATGCCATATATAGAGTGTATCATATATATCTTTACATGTTGTATTTCATATGTCATATATATGATGTACCATATATATATATATACATTTATTTGTACATGTCATATATATAGTATACTATATATATATATATGGCATAAATATGTGATAAATATGGTACTATAATAATATGGTACTATATATGTATGTAATAGGTCATATATACTACATACCATAAATATGCATGCCATATATAGAGTGTATCATATATATCTTTACATGTTGTATTTCATATGTCATATATATGATGTACCATATATATATATATACATTTATTTGTACATGTCATATATATAGTATACTATATATATATATATGGCATAAATATGTGATAAATATGGTACTATAATAATATGGTACTATATATGTATGTAATAGGTCATATATACTACATACCATAAATATGCATGCCATATATAGAGTGTATCATATATATCTTTACATGTTGTATTTCATATGTCATATATATGATGTACCATATATATATATATACATTTATTTGTACATGTCATATATATAGTATACTATATATATATATATGGCATAAATATGTGATAAATACATTGAAAGTATTAACATACTATATATCCTTACATGTCATATATATGTGTGTGTGTGTGTGTGTGTGTGTGTGTGTTGCGTGTGATAAATATGGCATATAAATATTGACTTACTATGTGATTTTTTATATAACGCACCATATATATACATGTTATATTTCACATTTTAGAATTGAGTATACTTACATATTGCATATACTATGTGATTTTGTACCATATGTAGTATTGACTTCTAAATATGTGATAAATATGGTACTATATATGTATGTAATAGGTCATATATACAGTATACCATAAATATACATGCCATATATAGAGTATATCGTATATATCTTTACATGTTGTATTTCATATGTCATATATATAGTATACCATATATATATTCATTTATCTATACATGTCATATATAGTATACTATATATATATGACATAAATATGTGATAAATACATTGAAAGTATTGACATACTATATATCCTTACATGCCATATATATGAGTGTGTGCATTGTGTGTGATAAATATGGTATATAATATTGACTTACTATGTGATTATATATATATCTTTGCATGTTATATTTCACATTACACATATATTATTGAAATAACATGTTTGTCACAAATTTTACATAGTAGTATCACTTTTTTTTTTTTTTATGTCTATTATTTTGTGAATCATAAAAAATTTTAAATAGAATATCTACATGTCCTTTTAAAAAATCATCTTACTTACATTAATAATAATATAGTATAGCATTATATGGATTACATAATATTCTAATATGAGATTAGGGTTCACATTATCTTTTAAGACCATTAACAATAATATTATCTTTTAAATAATATTATATTTTAAGACTATTAACGATAATATTAATAATAATATTTATCCTAAAGTGAAACACAATTCTTATCAGAAAATAAATATTTATCCTAAAGTGAAATACTTTGTGACTTTGTGTTACAAAGTTTTGATGTAATATGATTTATTAAATTGAGTAAAATTGAATACAATTACTATTTATATACTTTGATAAAACGGCAGGAAATAATCTATTTTGATAACAACATGTGCCTTATAAAACTACACCATTTTATGGAAACTCAATAAGCATAATAAATATTTATTCTTAAGACATTGGGTTTAATGAGTTTTCCTTCCAAGAATATTGAAGTAATCATTACTTCTCTCTCATCCTTCCACAATGTCAATGGAGAAAATTATTTTCCCACAAAAAGATAGGGTTCACAAGCCAAAAATAAATTTATTTTACTAATCTTAAAAATGTTTTTGATCCGGATCAACTGAGCCAAATAGCATTGTCCTTTGAATAATTTGATGATATTTTTTTGTCAAACATTAGGGTCCATTTGGTTCATTATTATGATACTTTTTAAAATAATATTTTGAAAAAATTAAATTGGATGGGTATTACGATGTAAAATTTGAAAATTAACAAAAATACCCCCTATGTTTGTTTATTTACTAAACACCCCTATAATAAAATATTAAAAGTTAACAAAAACACCCCTAATCCATCCATTAAATACGGACAGCTGGCCACCACCGCCGGAGTCGCCGTATCGGTGCATGACCGGCTAGATCTTATCGGTTGTGCGCCGATATGATTTTTTTTGGCCAGATCCAAGATGGATCTGGTCGAAAAATGCCAGATCCAAGATGGATCTGGTCAAAAAATGCCAAATCTATGGCTAGATATGGCCGTCAATGGCCAGATCAACGACGACCATATCTTGACTGTCGTTCACAACTATCTACAGCCAGATCTTTGGCCGTAGATCTGGTATTTTTCGGCCAGATCCATCGTAGATCTGACCGAAAAAGGCTAGATCACGGATTTCGGCTAGCTTTAGGCAGTGGTAGCCAGAATCTGGTATAATGTGGGTTGCTGGGGTGTTTTTGTAATTTTTAAAAAAGAAATTAGGGATGTTTAGTTAAATTAACAAATTTAGAGGTGTTTAAAAGAAATTGAATAATATTTTGAGAATAAGCCAATTTTACTGTTTAATTTTATTGGAAAAACCTAGAATAATATTTGAAAGAGTGTATCAAACGGAGCTTAATAATTTTAAACAAATAATTAGAAGTTTTGATTAAAAGATTAGCTGTTTTGGTATTGTTCCAATTCTTGAAGGTAAAAATAGTTTACCAAAACCGCCATGCGTTTATTCAAAAAATGATTTTACCCCTTATACTGTTATATTTAACTAATGGAACCTCTATTTGGGGTTTTAGTGTAAATTTCCCAAAATTAGAGGGGACAAAATGTTTCACCAAACAATAATTAACTTTTAATATCAATTATATTCTTCTATTTGTTCGCGTTGTCTTTCCTAACGGCCTCGTGTCAACCAAGCCAAACCATCCTCGGCCCAATACATGTAAGAACGATAGGGGCCCAAACATATTATGGATTGGGCCTATCGTATTGGTTCTCTGAAAACGGCCCAACATCAGGTGAAGCAATCGTTAAGGTTGTTAAGAGATTTTTTCTTCGGCTTAAGAGAGTAAGACAGTCAAGTAAGGGCAGTTATTTCTTCGGTCAGCGGAAATGGCGGATCAAGAAAGAAGAATGTTGAAAGAAGAAGTCATAACTTACGCTTACATTCTCCTCTACATCGCTCTCTCTAGTGGTCAGATCTTCTTCAACAAGGTCTCTCTCTCCCTCACTGTTCCAATCTTTAATCAACATTTCTCTTGAATTATCTTTAAGTACTTTCTTAGAACTATTTAGCTGTTCGAAATTCATACCGGAATTTTCATGTGCTCGTTATTTCGTTTCTTTAGGTTTCGTGAAATTATAATTACGCCTCTTTAAGTTTTATAAGTTTCAACTAACCTCCCTTGTTTCTGGCGAACGTAATGTTTTTTAGATAGTTAATTAAATAGTCTAGAAGTACGTTTTTTCGGAATTAATAAAGGCATTAATGAAATTAGGGGACTTTTGTTGATAATTCTTAAACCTAGGGGACGCAATTGTATATTCACCAAATTTCAGGGTAGCAATAGACTGCCGTATATATATATGTGTGTGTGGGACTTTGAACTAGAAGAGATGGACTTAGCACAAATTGGAAACCAAATAATTTTAACTGTTAATCATTTTTTTCTTTATTAATTTTGGTAGAGTGTTTGGTTCGAAGAACCATACTGTTTCTTGTTTCTTTGAAGATTGAGAAAAAATAAAGAAACTAATGTAACTTCACTGGTCATGTACTTGAGTGAGGGTTTGAGTATCAGCTGTATTATCGAATGAATAGGGATCATGCAATTTTGAAATTGTACAATGATTTTTCTTATTTTGGGGAAGAGTTTCAGCTTTATTTTAGATTTTTAATATCACTAATTATTTTTTTCTCGAGACTTTATTACTATAATGTAAATTATGGAGATACTCTGCAGTATTGTTTTTCCCTTGTATAAATACTTTGGCAAATACTTGTATTTGGACTTGATGGCCATAAGCCTTAAACTATTAACATCACGGTACATTTCTTGTGAATTTTGAGGGCCTGATACCTTATCTCTCATACTTTTCTGCGAGAACTAGTGAAACTATTTTTTTCTTCCACTTTTGCATTGATGTCCATTTTGTTAGAATTAACTTTCATTGTTATTTCTCACACATTCATTTCTTTTATAGACATCTACCTTGACCACATTGTTTTTATCCTTTTGTGAACCGCAGTGGGTTTTGTCATCGAAGGAAATAAACTTCCCTTACCCTCTTGGGTTGACCCTGCTTCATATGGTGTTCTCCTCCGTATTATGTTTTGTTCTCACCAAAGTTTTCAAGGTATCTTGCTTTCTATATCTTATGATAGTCTCTGACTGAGCAATGCATTCTTTTTTCCAACTCTTGATTGTTATTTGTTTTTTCTCATAGATGTTCAAGGTTGAGGCAGGAATGACTCCAGAAATGTGAGTAATGAGTTTGAATTTGTAAAGTCAAGCTGCTGATAGCTCTTGATTGCTGATTTATTAGTCTCATTTGTTGTAACCACCGCAGTGCTTTATCTGAAACATTGTATGATCCAAGGATTTTTTTCGGAAGGAAGTTAGACTTCAGTCCCATTGTTATCTGCTTCTTGGCCTGTTTCTTACCTATAGTAACTTTGGGCGCAACTGATAACAGAGTTGCTCAACTTGCATTAGTTTAATTTCACATTTAAAACAGTTAGTGAATTGCATTGTGGTGCATTATTTTTCGTGACTCCAAGGTTCCAAGGAGATTGTTTTACTTTTTAGAAAAGGGTTTTCTTCACATAATATAGATTAGAGATTGTGCATTAGTCTTTGGGGAGTCAGGCTTATGGGAGATGGTCTAAACTGAATAGTGTTCTTGTTATGACCATGCTTGCCATATTCTTTTTTACCAGTGCTATACCTTGTGATTTCAAATTCTTCTTCATTGATAAACAATTCTTGGATGATTCTCAGGATTTGCATTCAAAATGTGATTTAAGTTAAAAGATTTTCCTTAATCGATAAAAGATCCTTAATATGAGTCTCTTCTAAATTCAACTTTCATCAATGTTATAAATTGTCATTTTGGCATGCTTTTTGTTCTGTGTATACCCAAGCTAAGCCCTGTATTCTTATATTCCATTAGGTAAGGTAAAGTAGTATATTTGTCTTCATCTTTCATATTAAGTCAAATTTTTAAGGGAAAATTGTCTTTTCTAGATGAAGGATCTATCTATTACATGCCCAGGTAGAACAATTTTCTTATCAATGAATTGCATTTATCTGCAAGTCCTTGGCCCCTTGATTGCGATTTGTAAAGCCTTCTTTTCCACCAAAATCATTTTCATGAACCTGTAGCATTTTTGTTAATATTTTTCATGAAATTCTTGTCTACTTACTACATGCATTCATATGCTGCCGTAAGTCTAACCAAGTTTTATATGTTTTCAGATATACTACATCAGTTATCCCAATTGGTGCAACATTTGCAATGACTCTTTGGCTGGGAAACACTGCATACCTCTATATTTCAGTTGCGTTTGCACAAATGTTGAAGGCAATTAGTGAGTTGTTTCCTTCCTGTTTCTTATTCCTCTCTTTAGCTTTGCGTGTAGAGTCTGTGTGGGAATATTTTGTATGTTTTAGTTTTATTAGTAAGTCCCTTTTTATCCCTTTTTTCTTTCAGAAATTTGTTTCTCATCTCAGGATTACATTGGTTTTAAAGTTCTAGGTAGCATGCATTTCTATATTTTCTGGAGAGAGATTTTGATCAATTTCTTGGATGGAATTTGCAGTGCCAGTAGCTGTTTTCATTCTTGGAGTAGCAGCAGGACTTGAGGTCATGAGCTGCAGAATGCTATTGATAATGTCAGTGATAAGTTTTGGTGTACTAGTGGCTTCTTATGGGGAAATGAATATAAGCTGGATTGGAGTTGTTTACCAAATGGGTGGTGTCGTTGGAGAAGCTTTAAGACTTATTTTCATGGAGATTCTGGTTAAGAAGAAGGGTCTCAAATTAAACCCTATTTCCGTCATGTATTACGTTAGTCCTTGCAGGCATGTTCTTAATATATTTCTGTTTAAAGTATATGCGATGTCTCTGTTGAAAATTTGTTTTTCTTTTACAGAAAATATATGCCTTTGTTGATTAACATTGGTCTGTTTTGGCAGTGCTATTTGCCTGTTTGTGCCCTGGATTTTTCTAGAGAAACCAAAGATGGAAGCACATGGAACTTGGAACCTGCAAGCCCTCATATTGACACTCAACTCTCTCTGCACGTTTGCGCTCAACTTATCAGTATTCCTTGTGATCTCACATACTAGTGCTCTGACAATTCGTGTGGCTGGGGTTGTTAAGGATTGGGTGGTTGTCTTAGTGTCCGCCCTTCTCTTTGCAGATACAAAGCTGACAATTATAAATCTTTTTGGGTATGGGATTGGTAAGTATCTGGACCTCTCTCTCTTTTTTCTCACATTCTCTGTTTATTTATTTGTGTGAGTATTCATCATATTGCGACCTGTATATATCTGTTTGGTGGCTCCAGTGAAAGTGATGGAATTTTCCTTCTGAAAGAGAGTGAAACAATGGCGATGACAGTCTAGATCTGTTTATAGTTTGGCAGCTGGGTGCATATTGGAATCATATGTTACCTTGGCAGGGGATAGTTATTATAAAAAGAAAAAATGATTGCAACTTTTGCCTTGTCACGTCAGTAGTGAATGTTTTTGCTTGTCTTCTGTATTCCAAAACTGTGCATTTGTTTCTCTTTTATTAATATAATAGGATGATTTTTCTCTTTGACATCTTGTAGAAGTCTTTTGGATAGAGATCCAATTAAATATTTTCTTTTAAAAGATATAGTATAATCACAATTTCATGTCAGAGTGGATAATCACAATTTCGTGTCAGAGTGGTAAATCTCAGTGTTTTACCCACTGATTTGTATTCCTCTCTTTTGCATGAATTGTAGAGGACAAATTTCTATGAAGTTAGGAGCTAAATTCTGGGAGTCTTACTAAAATTGTGATAAATCCTTTCCTTTTCTCTCTATATTATTTCCTTAAATATTTTTTTTGTTCCAACCCAGCCATCGCTGGTGTAGCTGCATATAACAATAGCAAGCTGAAAAAGGAAGCTTCTCGATCTAGCACCAACGATTCTCTAGATGTTCAATCCCTAACAAAGGAAGCTTCATCTTCAACTTCTGACAGATAGTCTTATGTCAACAGCAGTCTGCAAAAATACTTCTGAGGTATGTAAACACGTGTAACTGAACTTTTCTTTCAAATATCAGTTGTTACTCGTTAAACAATTGTGAGTGATGTTACTGTAATAAACAATTTCTATTGCAGGAAACTTCTGTGTTTGTAATTTTGGATTATTTTTCTGGTGAAGATTCAGTTTAAGATCATATCCATTCTATTGATGGTAACAGCTGCTCCGACATTTTTGGTATTTTTTTTGTATGCCGGTATGGAGCCAAATCAACTAGCTCAGCGGAGAAAATGTTGTATAAAGAAGTGAAATTCACAACTGTATCATTAAGAAATTAAAGAAACAAAAACTGAAGACTTTTCAATGTTGAATAATCAATCATAGGTGATTTTTCTGCAAAGCAATTGTTGAAATCCATTTCTCAGGTAATAATCTATGATATACCTTCTTTTTGGTTCCCTTTTGCAGTTTATCTTGAATTCGTTCAGAAGAAAAGCCTTTCTACGCAAGACTGTGGTAAGTGAATACCTATCTTCGAGGGTCGGTAATGTTACCGCCACCCTTACCATGTTATCGTTCTGGGTAATCTATGGATTGGTACCTCCATAGAGTGAAAAATGTCAATCCAACAGTTAGCAAGATTCAGCGACGTTTTTGGTAACCTAGTGATGGTTACTTTACTCGGGGTTGAGCTGAATTGCTAAAATTGAATTCCAAGAGGAAAAGATTTAAGTTTTTGTTTTTTAAGACAACCACAGAAATGAAGTTATCATTATAATGGGTCCTATTAAATTTGCAAATTGCTTTTGATATTATGAATAGTTTGTAACGGAAATTTAAGGAACAAAACTANTGTCAGAGTGGTAAATCTCAGTGTTTTACCCACTGATTTGTATTCCTCTCTTTTGCATGAATTGTAGAGGACAAATTTCTATGAAGTTAGGAGCTAAATTCTGGGAGTCTTACTAAAATTGTGATAAATCCTTTCCTTTTCTCTCTATATTATTTCCTTAAATATTTTTTTTGTTCCAACCCAGCCATCGCTGGTGTAGCTGCATATAACAATAGCAAGCTGAAAAAGGAAGCTTCTCGATCTAGCACCAACGATTCTCTAGATGTTCAATCCCTAACAAAGGAAGCTTCATCTTCAACTTCTGACAGATAGTCTTATGTCAACAGCAGTCTGCAAAAATACTTCTGAGGTATGTAAACACGTGTAACTGAACTTTTCTTTCAAATATCAGTTGTTACTCGTTAAACAATTGTGAGTGATGTTACTGTAATAAACAATTTCTATTGCAGGAAACTTCTGTGTTTGTAATTTTGGATTATTTTTCTGGTGAAGATTCAGTTTAAGATCATATCCATTCTATTGATGGTAACAGCTGCTCCGACATTTTTGGTATTTTTTTTGTATGCCGGTATGGAGCCAAATCAACTAGCTCAGCGGAGAAAATGTTGTATAAAGAAGTGAAATTCACAACTGTATCATTAAGAAATTAAAGAAACAAAAACTGAAGACTTTTCAATGTTGAATAATCAATCATAGGTGATTTTTCTGCAAAGCAATTGTTGAAATCCATTTCTCAGGTAATAATCTATGATATACCTTCTTTTTTGTTTCCTTTTGCAGTTTATCTTGAATTCGTTCAGAAGAATAGCCTTTCTACGCAAGACTGTGGTAAGTGAATACCTATCTTCGAGGGTCGGTAATGTTACCGCCACCCTTACCATGTTATCGTTCTGGGTAATCTATGGATTGGTACCTCCATAGAGTGAAAAATGTCAATCCAACAGTTAGCAAGATTCAGCGACGTTTTTGGTAACCTAGTGATGGTTACTTTACTCGGGGTTGAGCTGAATTGCTAAAATTGAATTCCAAGAGGAAAAGATTTAAGTTTTTGTTTTTTAAGACAACCACAGAAACGAAGTTACTATTATAATGGGTCCTATTAAATTTGCAAATTGCTTTTGATATTAAGAATAGTTTGTAACGGAAATTTAAGGAACAAAATCATGGGGGTGTTTGTCTAAGCTTATAAGCTGGTCAAACTCTAAAATTAAACTGATCTGTTTGTTTATAACTTTTTTAAACTTATAAGCCAAAAAAAATAAGTTGGGGAGAAGGTATTTTTTTTTTTTTTTTTTTTGCTTATAAGTTAGTTTAACCAAGTATATTACCACATTATCCTTGTTTAATTTTAAAATTTCATAGTATATCCTTATTTAATGTAGTACCTTTTTTAGTTATTTTATAATAAAATGTACTTATAAACCATATTTTATCAAACACGTCAACTACTTGTCAGTCACTTATAAATATTTTAATCAAACACGTAATTGCTTAAAATTTCAAATGCTTATAGCTTATAAGCAATTGTTGCTTATAAACTAATTTTTATAAGCTCAGACAAACACCTCCTATAATAGTTACTTTGAATAAAATATATTGTCCTTGAACTTTAAGTCCACCACCACATATATAAATATTGAATAATGGAAATTATAGCCCATTTTTGTTTTACTCTTATGAATCATTTTTTTGTTATCTTATTTGAATTTAAAAATAGAATATATGTTTATTTATTTATTGGGATCATTATTCTAAAAATTAATATGAATCAAATAAGATTTTTTTATTAAAAATGAAAAGAGAGGGGATTTGTTTTCTATTATCATGTTCTATTTAACTCAAAACATTTTTTCAACTCTATTCAACTATAAACAATTACCTTTCACTCATTTTAATCTGAAAATTAATCTATCCAAACCACCATTGTCACGTCGGAACGACACACGGTTGGTCATTTCTAGCTAAATCCATGGAAACAACCAGATTTACAGTTGACATCTGGCGATCGACTAGTCGTACGCCTTGATATAATTTTCAGATATTATATCAAACACATTTTCATAATCCTATCTTATTCGATTTAATCCAATTCAACTCACCTTAAAATAGTTTTTTAGAATATCATTTTTCTAATAATCTATTCATATCTTATCTTATTCGATTTAATCAAATTCAACTCATTTTAAAATAGTTTTTTAGAATATCTTTTTTCAGATAATCTATCAAACATGCCATAATTTATCCTTCAAATAAACAAAAAGGAAATGACAAATGTTATTGAATTTTGTCATTATTTTCTCAAAATTAGTTCAATTATATTTGATGTTATAAAATTATTGTAAAATTTGGATGAAGTAAACACACACACACATACACATATATAGTAAAACCTCTCTATAATGATACTCTATATAGAAATAAACTTTACATAGTCATAAAAAAATTATAGTCTCAATTTGGGATAGTTATAAATAAGAATAAACTCTACATTGTAATAAGTTATAATTTTTCTAATTCCCGCCTTAAGGAAAGTTGCTTCTACATAGTAATAATTATCTATATATTACAAAAAAAAAAATATGTTATGTAAAATTAAAGGTTTAAAATGAAATAAAATATTTATTTAAAATTGTTTGGGACAATGATTTATGCTTTAAAATTGTTATCACATCTTTTACCTTACGAATACGTAATAGCTCGTTGGCATGGATACCTTCTTGTTGAAGCCAAACTATTTTTAGTTTCTCAAGCATGCTTAGAGTTTCATGGCACAAGACTTTTTGTATTTCTGTACTATTATCTTTAGGATTATTTCTTTTCTCTTATTGTCTAATTGCAACAATGATTTCTCCTTTGGTTAAAACATACACGATTTGTTGCTTATTTGGATAATCGAAGAAGTCATTAATATCCATTCGATTAGTGTAGTAAAGTTATCGAATCTGATCACTCAATTCTATGATGACTCTTTTATTCTCCTCATCTTCTTCATTTGTAACTTACAATTTATTGACATTAGTGGTCCTAATTTTGCAATGCTTAAAACCATTGACAATTGTCTGTGACTTCATATCAATTGACCATCAACTGCATTTACAGATCTATCAATGACATTTATTTTTGCTGGTTCTAAGAAATGATCTTTTATCCGTTTCAAAAGTAGACAATTGAAGCGCTGAATTGAAATCCTAATATTACTAAAATATGAATTGATATCCTAATACTGTACTACTAAAACATGAATTATAAAATAAGAAATCAAAACTATAATTTTTGTAACTACACCTCCATTAAATTATAACTTTCTTATAATAATAAAATTAGTTAGTCTAATCATTATGACTACACCTCTATTAAATTATAACTTTCTTATAATAATAAAATTAGTTAGTCTAATTATGACTATAGAAAAGATTTACTCTATATATATATATAATAGAGAGAGAGAGAGAGAAATAAAAAATTATATANATGAATTGAGATCCTAATACTGTACTACTAAAACATGAATTATAAAATAAGAAATCAAAACTATAATTTTTGTAACTACACCTCTATTAAATTATAACCTCCTTATAATAATAAAATTAGTTAGTCACATCATTATGATTATAGAGAGGTTTGACTATATATATATATATATATATAGAGAGAGAGAGAGAGAGAGAGAGAAAATTATATAGGGCTTATTCATCCAGCTCCCTGAAGTTTGCGAATTGAACTTGGTTCCTATGTTACCTGAATTATCCAACCACCTAGGGCTGTGCAAAACTGGGTACCTGCTCCGATTTTGACCAAAATCGGGTACCTGCAAAAATATACCCGCTAACTGAACCGGTTTTAGAATACCTGGTTTTGCGGGTACCCGAAAATTCAGGTCACAAACCGGGTATCCGATTTTGTTACCCGAATATTCTAACAGTCCTAACTCCTAACCAGCAATTCTTCTCAAATTCATTGACTTCTTTAACCAACATCCCCTCTCAAATTCTGAAACTCTCTTCCTTTTTCTATTACCTCTGTTCTTCTTTAATCCCTTCAGTCAACTGATGCACAAACTCTAAAAAAAACTTGCTCAGCTACTCAAGAACTTGCTCAGCTACTTAAGGCAACAACTCATTTTCAGTTCTGCAATTTTAATTGCAACTTCAGTTAATCAAAACTGGAAACAACTCATTTTCAGTGCGGCTGCGTGCGGCTGTGTGTAGGTCCTGTAGGACTTGAGTACTGGAAGAGACGAAGAGTGGAAGACTGAGACTGGAGGTTTACGCAGTGAGCCAGTGACGGGTTTTAGTTTTAGGGCATCTGAAATTTTCAGATTTGGGGATTTTTTTTAGGTTCTAGACTTTTGTCAGACGTCTTTTTTTTTTTAATAAAAACCGGGTACCGGGCACCCGGTTTTCTAAAATTAAATAACCGATACCCGAACCGAAAATTCAGGTATCTTATAAAAACTATCCGAAACCGACCTGAATTTTTGGGTACCCGAAAATCTGGGTTCGGTTCGGTTCGGTTACCGGTTTTTTTTGCACGGCCCTACAACCACCTCCCTGGCATTAGCTTTTTTCTGTTAAACTAGCTTTTGATTGATTTTGATAAAATTTCAAAATAATTAAAATAATATTAAAATAGTCAAAAATTTAAAAGAAGCAAAATCATAAAACATTTTAGAAAAAATAATCGAAAACCTACTAAGTTTAAAGGGATAATGAAAACCCCTATGTGTTTCAACTAAAAGGCTCCCGCTCTATTCAGAAATAGAGCACAACCCCCATTCCGTTAGCATCTGTTAATAAACCTCTGCACATTAATGACATTTTTGTCCTTCAATCGAATGCCAAGCTGGATTTTTTCAATATTTTTTTTCATTCAAATAAAATTTCTTAAGTTAATTTATAATCCAAATTTTTTTTTTTTTTAGTTTTGTCCTTTTATACAAAATATTATCCACTTTCATCATGTTATTAATCTCATATCATTCCAAATTTTACCCTTCTAACAAATTTATTAGTCTAACTTTAATCTACATCTAACAAAACTCAATCAAAAACACATTATAAAGCATTTATAACCAAATCCCTCAATCTTCAAATTCACTGATTCCAATTTCCTTAAGAAAAATTAATAATAAACTGAAGAAATAAAAAAAAAAAAATTGAAGCTGGCTAACCACCAGATCTAGGTCATGGTGGTCAACCATCAGATCTAGGCATTGGTGGCAAGATTCAGCCATTGCCTAGGTGTAATTGGAGGAAGATGGAGAAAGAAAATGGGAAGAAAGAGAGATGAGAAGAGAGAAAGAGACAGAAGAAAGGAGGGGGAGGAAAGGATAAACCGGAGAAGAAAGGAGGAAGAAGAGGGGGAAAAAATAGATAAGAAAGGAACAGGAGGAGAAGAGAAGAAGGAAAGAGGAAGAAGATGAAGACTGAGAGCGATGAAAGAGATAAAATAGGTAAAAGAAAAAGGAGGAGAGTTCTTATAAAATCTGAAAGTTAATAATACCTTTTATAAAATATATCTTATTATATGTTAAAGTTAATCGATAAATTTAACGAAATAGGGGTTACACTACTACTTCTAGTAAGAGTGGGGGCTCACAATTTGTTGAAATGAAGGGGGTTTTTTTTTTATTATTATCCCAAGTTTAAAAGATTTCTTAGAATTTATATTTTCTTGGTTTTTTTAATGATTTTAAAAATTATTATGTTGTAGATAATTTTATTGAATATTTTATGTTGATTTAATTTTTTTTCTGAAAAATTTAGATATTTTACTTAATTTTATAAAATTTAATTTTAGGGATGATTTAGTCATTGCCTAAGTCAAAATTGGTCAAAAGTTAGTTTAGACGGAAAAATCTAACGGTTGGATAATTCAGATAACGCAAGGACCAGATTTTAATTTCAGATAACACTGGGGAGGTAAATAAGCCCAAATTGTATATCGATTAAAGGAAAATAAAAATGAAAAACTGAAAAACTGAAAAGTTGTATCGGACAGAAAACAACGAAGAAAGAGAAAGAGAAAGAGAAAGAAAGGGGGGAAATAACGAAAATAAAAATGAACCTTCTCAAATCAAAGAGAAGGAAATTGGGGGTTTTCTACCTCCTCCCTCTTCTTCTTTAAAATTCTCATTCAAATTCAGAATTCCATTTTAATTTTTCTTTTTTCTTAAAATTCAATCTATTGCTGTTAATTTCGACATGCGATCATCCGCCCACGACCGATGAATCTGTCTCAGAAGGCGTTGGTCTCCGTTGATGGGACTTCGACACCACGACCTCCAAATGAGTTGGCAGCCGAGTTTACTCAGTGATAAACGCAAACGTGGCCCTCCTTTAGGCTTGCGAAATCTCGGCAACTCTTGTTATCTCAACAGCGTCCTTCAGTGCCTCACCTACACTCCTCCTCTCGCCAATTTCTGCCTCAATCTCCAACACTCCTCTCTCTGTATTCCTCCTTCTTTATTTTTTTTTTAATTCATATTATGTTTTATTTGTTTCTTACGTTTTCGTACCGAGTTTATTCATTTCTTGCCCTAATTTTAGAATTCTATGTTTAATTAGGTGATTTGGCACGTGACTGTCCCTTTTGTATTCTGGAGAAGAGGATTGTGCGGTCGTTGAGCTTGGATTTAACTCTGGATGCGCCGGCGAAGATCCAGAGTTGTTTGAGGATTTTCGCCGAGCATTTTAGGGGCGGGAGACAGGAGGACGCGCATGAGTTTCTGCGTTATGTGATTGATGCGTGTCACAACACGTGTTTGCGTCTCAAGAAGTTGAAACGCAAGGGGGGTGACCGTGAAGCGGTGAATGGGAGTGTGGGGAATAGTAGTAGTAGTAGTGTGGTTAAGGAGATATTTGGGGGAGCTTTGCAGAGTCAGGTGAAGTGTTTGTCATGTGGCGCTGAGTCGAATAAGGTTGATGAGATTATGGATATTAGTCTTGATATTTTGCATAGTGGTTCACTTAAGGATGCAATGCAGAAGTTCTTTCAGCCTGAAGTTTTGGAAGGAAATAATAAGTATAAATGTGAGAAGTAAGTTATTTGATCATGACCTTTGTTGCTTTTTTTTTTCCTTACAATGGGAATTTGATTTGGATGAGAAACTTATACTTGCTTAGTTGTAAGAAATTGGTGGCAGCAAGGAAGCAAATGTCGATTCTTCAATCACCAAATATCCTTGTGATTCAACTCAAGGTATGGAGCTGTTGTTAGGTTTATAATTGCTTTTAGCTTTGTTTGTAATTGCTTTTTGATTGAATCATTGGTTGTGATCATAGAGGTTTGGAGGGATATTTGGTGGGAAAATTGATAAGACCATTGCATTTGAAGAGATTTTGGTTCTTTCAAGCTTCATGTGCAAAGCTAACCAGGTGTGTACCGTTGTCAATATTTTGTTTGTTATCTGCCCTCATAAATCTTGCTTGACTGGGATTAAGCTCTTTTGCCAAATTTGTAAAATTGTATGAAAGTCAGTATATAGTATATATGTACACCCTCACGTGTATAATTTTGGAGTAAGAGGTTATTGCCGCTTTTAGAAGTTGAAGCCTAACAGAGTTTTGATGAATTTCTCTACATTTATGTTTGGCGCTTTTAGTGTTCTGGTTATTAAGTTGTTATTAGCAAAATAATTCAAGTGTGATTTCACACTTCTGTAACTTGTAAGAACTTACTGTCATCTGACTATCCCAGGCTGGAAAAGAATCATGGGGTATATATTACCCCACAATGCTTATCCATATCTATAGGGTAAATATTTGTCTTCTTGGAGCCATCTATGATTATGTGGGAAATGGTTACTATTTGAATAAGAGTTTGTGATTATGGTATCAAATAAGTGATCAGAAATGAAATATTTTTTTGGTAATTCTATGCACAACTGATAATTAGGTTTAAAGAATGTACATAGACTATGTTTTGTTGATTAGAGTGAGGTTGCAGGAATGGAAATCTCTTTCCTGGATCCTTCATTCCCTTAATTAGTGGGTAAAATTGCTTCCCATTAATGGACTTGGAAATCCTGTTGCTCTAAAGTGAGATAATATCATTAATGGAGTTGGTATCATTATTCCCATACTTATGGGAGTCAAAATTAAAAATTTTGTGATGATGGAAAGCTGCATAAAATAAGGGTGGTTCTGATTAATTAGGATAATTATTTATATGATTGAGAAGAAAAAAGAAACTGTCCTGGTTGCTGAGAATTGTTAAAGTTTTCTTTGGTGAATTTGAAGGGATTACATAGATCTGTATAGGCTTTTGAAACTCGTAATACTACAAGAATAGGAAAGTAAAGAAACCTAAAACTTTGTCCTGGAAAATTGTATAAAGACCCTAGATGAAAGACAAATTGAAACCTTAGTGAAAAGCAAGTCTAGCTGGCTGTTGTATGCCATTTTAAACCTGGAAAATTAGGTTTTGCTCCTAACTCATAAAATCTGGGAAAAGTAAAAGTAACTAAAGCAGAAGCTTATTAATGCACATGAACATCAAAATAGCTTACTATTAACTAGAGACTTGTATGGAGAGCCCATTTTGAATCTGTATTGAACGTAGACTATAATACTAGGTTGCATTGATCTTTAGTCTCACTCTTTCTTGAGCATCTTGTGGTGTGCACCTAGCAATAATATTATACATCTTTTTTATACACCAGAAACTTAATCACACTAGGGCACTTTCATACATGGTCAAAATATAGATGTAGTGGGTGCTTGTATTTGTGTGTTTATAGTGAGGAACTGAAAGGGTTCTGGTTAGTAAAGAAGAGTTTGGGTGTGGTTTTCGTGCAGCACTTTCTTAAAGCCATAGACCAGCATCCAAACAGTTGATCCAAGTTAAACAATTAACAACAGAGGTAGCACATATGAAATTTATAAAATCTTTTGCAAGCAATGTCAATAGATTTATCATGTATGCATAATCAAGTTTCCTTTGCATGTATATGACTTTGTTTATAGTGAATAAGGTGATAGACATGAGCTAAAATGAGAAAGAAGGCTTTTATTATGTTTAGAAGGGTTGGGTGGGGAACAATCCTCTATTGTCTGATAGGAGACATTTGGTTGCTGGTGTTCTTTGTATTCTGTTTTACTGGGTAGTATCTAGCTAAGTGGAAATGTTATTCACTAGTTGGTGTGGACTTATTAGACTTTGGAAATTGGGAGTAATGCTGTTAGAAGACGGTGCTTGATCAAAATGCTCATTCCTAGAATTTTTTTTTCTCTTAGATACTTTTGCATGCAGATTAGGTTTTAATTTGTGTCTGTTTCTCGTTGGCCTAATAACTTATGTTGACTCAAAAACAAAAGAAAAAAAGGAGCAAGAGTAATTGATTGGGAAGCTTTGTTGAATATGAAGAGGTAATACCGTAATAGTGATAGGAGAGGGAAAAGAGAGAACAGTTTGCTATTGGTGAGTAACAGATAGGGGATCCATATGTTGTTAAAAGTACTTTTACATAATTGAACACTAAATTGTAACAGTATTGTGTTGTGTCATGTAGACTAGAATTAAATTCTGCTTTTGTTAACTTCCAAATGTTCAAGTGTGATCCAGAATTTGTATGGAAAGTTAAGACATAGATGCATAATTAGTTAGACAACAAAAGCAGCAGGAAGCTTTAAATGTTTGAGTATTTTTTCAGCATCAAAAACAGAGTAGATGGTTAGGTTACTCTAACGGTATTGTCTGATTTCTGTGGGTGAATTTGTAGTCTTTGGTGCTTTCTGTTTTTGGAATATAACCTAGTTACGCTTTAGGAAATCATCTATGAGATGGTGTTCTCTCTCTCTCTCTCACACACACACACACACACACACACACACACACAACTAATAGAAATGTTTTTGCTTGCATGTGAATACATTTCATAAACATTACAACCCCATGGAAGTGCTCTCAATGCTATTTGAAGCATATATTTTATAACTTGCTCTATTAAGCATATAGAATTTATGATTTTTGTTTGCAACGCAGGATCCGCAACCAGAATATAAGCTTTTTGGAACTATTGTGCATTCAGGATTTTCACTGGATTCAGGGCATTATTATGCTTATATCAAGGTGACTTATTGGATTTTATTTTATTTTAATACATATGTCAGTTTCAGGAATGAACAATGCCATCTGTTTGCTGATATTTCTTCTCTGTTTTGTGTACAGGATGCAATGGGCCGGTGGTATTGCTGTAATGACTCCTCTGTCTCACTTTCAACTCTGCAGGAGGTATTGTCTGAGAAGGTTTATATTCTCTTCTTTTCTCGTGCTAACCAAAGACCAGAATCAGCCAATGGCACTTTTCCTTCAAATGGTGTTAAATCTAGTGAAAATGGCAATGGGGTTCATAAAGGCGTGAAGACTACTGTTCCGTTGAAATCAGTGAGTATAAAACCAAGTGCTGAGCAGTCATCTCGGAAGAATGTCTCTACCATTTCTAAGGTTGAGAAAGTGCCTTCTGCCCCACGACTGAAATTCAATATTTCGGGAAACTCTGGTTGCAAAGGAGTTCCTCCAACTACTAATGGAAAGATTGATAGTCATAAGTCTCAGAGTATGGAAATGAATGGAGCTATCAAAGATTCGGTTCAGAAGGAGAAAAGTGAGAAAGATCCATTGATGAACGGGAATGATTCTAACAAAAGTAAAAGAGTTGATGTTCTTGATAAAGAGAATGGTGTCACACCGGCATCAGTAAATGAAAATGGTGATTCTAAAAATGTTGGTTTTGCATCAGTAAAACAAGATTCTGGTGAACGTAATGTTATGAGGAACGGGACAACACAACGAGGGTCTGATCACACCAAACTGCTTAATGGTAGTATTAACGGCCACTCTGATGTCTCTGGATCCAAGAGGAAATTGCATAAGGATTCTTGCATTTTGTTTGCACAGGATTCTCAATCTCAGGCAAAAGTTCAAGAACTGAGAGAAGTGTATGTGCTTTCACTTTAATTGCTTAAAACTGTTTCTTGTTGGTGTTAGTTATGCTTGTTAGGTTCCTGTCTGTTTGCCTTGATTATGCATTTCATTTTGTTTTGGTTCATTTATGTTCATAATATTCTTAGGTTCTTGTTTTTTCTGTCACATGCATCTCACTCTTGCAACATGTTTCCAACTAATGTGGATTATGAACATTGGATTGAGAAATGGGATTTAAATCATGACAAAGTTTTGTATCATTTTATTGAAGTCTATAATGGAGCGGGTGGTTGTTTGGGTCTTTTTAATTATTGATCATTTCAAACATTAGTTCTGAGCCAAAAAATAACAACTTTTTTTTATGGCCCTGCTAAACCTATTATTTTCAAAAATTGGATGACATAACTTAACTTCTTTTTATTGCTATTGTATCCATGAGTGATGCATATGTTGCAACTATGAATAGGAGTATCAGTCCGAGGACACATTTATCTGTGGTATTAATGACACTAGACTGCTGTTGGATCCTCTTCTAGTGCATCCTGTAAAGCATGAAGTCTTCAATATCTTTTATTTTTCCCCATTGTTTTTGACAAACTCACATCTGTTTGTTTTTGGTTACGCATGCTACTTGTCTGTGGAGTCAATATGTTTCTCCGATTGGAAGTGAGACTTATGAAAATTCATGGATATCAATTTAAGTTATTCATCTTTGCCTTGACATAAGTTGATCCCTTGATCACTTTTTCCTTTTTTTTTTTTTTTTTTTGACATCTCAGTTTGGAGAAAGAAGCTTCCTTAGTATTACGATCATGTGGTTGGTCTGAAAATGTCTACAGTTTTATGTGTTCAAGGAAGAGGCTATGCGCACAAGAAGTTGGTAATGCTCCAAGCGCTGTTGATTTGAAGTAAGTTGTTCTACTTTACATGAATTAATTGGTTGGATATTCTTATAAGTCCCAAGTTTTACTTTTTTAGAGTTTTTTCTTTGGTATGTGGCCGCCTTTTTCTTTTTGAAAAATGCTATCCTTATAAAGACCTATACAAAGAAGGCTACTAAGTGACGTGGGCGAGAAGAAAAAACAAAGAAAGAAGGGAAAAAGAGAGAGAGAGAGAGAGAGAGAGAGAGAGAGAAATCATGAAGATCAAGGGTAGCAATTGTCTTTGTATGCCCCTTTTGTATTTGTCTTTGTAAGACTAGCACTTCTCTTTTTTTTTTTTTGCATTGAACTGCAACAAATGTTTTAAGGAATGGGTGAATATTTTTAGCTTAAAATACTTTCTGAAAAGGTAGTTTGTTCCTGGAGGATGGTAGTTCTCTATGAGCTGTGTTTATGAACATGAGTTTCAAGCATTGTGGAGGACATTTAAGTGTCAGATGCAGCAGTCTATAAATTAAGATGTGCACAATGGCTCTAATTTGGTAGTACTTGTATACAAAGTCAAATTTCAGGTTTATATTCTTGAAAGAGTGAGAATCCATCGTCAGTATTTTACAGAATTTTTTTGTGTTGTTCTCATATTCTAAAGTCAGTGGGTTAATTGAGTCACCTGATTAGATTTCTTTTGGCCAGAAAGGTCACCTGTATGTATGCGCATCTGTTTCTAAACACTTTAAGGAGATTTTTACAGATATTTTTTGTGTTATTCTCATATTCTAAAGTCAGTGGGTTAATCGAGTCACTTGATTAGATTTCTTTTGGCCAGAAAGGTCACTTGTATGTATGAACATCTGTTTCTGAATACTTTAAGGACCCTTCATTCTTTCATTCATCTTAAATCTTTGCCAAGAGGGGATTTTTTTATCTAACTTTGTAATTGTTGGTTGATAGTTTTTATACTATAGATTGAGAGCTGTATAATTAGCGAAGTTAATTGGTCTTTCCTTTGGATGTTGAGGTTTTTGTTGACTCCTTGTTCACTTTTTGTATACTGAATTTTATTTAATAGAAAATTTTTCTTCTCCAACACAAAAAAAAGAAAAAAAATGTTAATTTGCAGTACCTGCCGTGGAGCTCTTGGTAGAAAAGAAAGTGATATTTGGGTTTGAAAAAAGGGTAGACACAGGTTATTTTTCATGATATGCTAAAATATAAGGGCTAGTTTGCACAAGTGCTATTAATTAAAGGCTTGAATCTTTTATCACTATGGGAGGGATCACACATTAAGATTATGGCCCTTGGAGCTTTGGTTATAGGGGCTGCCCTTTTGCATCAGCTGCAGCAGCATCAATGGAGTCGCAATTGCTTCTCTTCTGCCTTCTTGCATCTAGCACCAAGTTGCTGTTTTCTGTACTCTTCTGTTTGGATCTGGATCTGGATCTGGATCTCTGTTCCTGTCGTCCGTTTCTATTTTTGAATTGAATGTTTAGCTATGCTAGAGTATCTAGGCTGAAAACTGGATTATTTACTTTCCCATTCATTGTGAGAATTGTGAAATGGTGTTCATTAAAGAGTAAAATATTCAAAATGCATACATCATGGTTTCAGAAATAGCCAAAAAGCTCAACCCTTTTCATTCAAATAAAAGTAACTTAAAATAATCATTATGTTCGAAAAAACAGTTTACGTCAATCATCTTAATACTCATAATTAGATTTATCTACTCTTTTGTCCATGAAACAAACAGCCCTTTTATCTCTCTGGTTGTTGTCTTTAGTAAGAAACTGTTATTATAATTATTTGCTTGCATCACCTAGAAACTCTGTTCATCCTTTTACTTCAATGCAGGAAGTTGTTGATCACAGATGCAAAACGAACTTTTATTTCACAAATACCAGAGCCGTTGAAAGAGGACCTTATCAAACGTCTCAGGTTATTTAGCAAAGAAAAACAAGAATCTCCAGGCTCTTGATCACCTCAAGTGATATATCATGAGGTATTAACCCTGTTAAATTTTAAAATTTCTAATAGGGAATCCCTGGTAATTCAGAACTGGCTGGTAGCCTGACCTTTTATTCTTCTGCTATTGATAATTTTTGCAGTTCCATGAGATTTGTAGCTGATGGGGTTTGTAGTAAAAATACATTCGTGTAAAAATTTTGTTGACTGTTGGTGTGGGTTGGATAAGAAAATGTTTGTGGTGAAGGAGATATTTTCTTGAGAATTGGGGGGGATTCCATGTCCTATTACTTGTAGCAAAGTGCCGGCAGTAACAAAAACGGTCAATTAATCGTCTGCCTTGGACAAACAAACACAATTATAATTGTAGGTAACCTTTTGGTGATGTTGAGACAATTATAATTGTAGCTAACCTTTTGGTGATGTTGAGATGAAAAGGCTGAGTTCAAAATTTGCGGAGCAATATGTTGGTTGAGGCTGTGAAGTTGGTTTTGTTGAGAACCAACCCTTAAAGTCGCGGAATCGTATTCATTTTGTATGATAAATTAGCAGGAATTCTGTTTTCGTTGATGCATACAATTTTCCATCAAAATGTAGCGGGATGGCACCTTTTGGATATACTATGTATCATTGAGATCTATACACTTTAGTAGTATGACATCTTCTTCTTCTCCGTAGTATACAAGTTTTGCAAATGGATTTTCTTTTAGCTATGTCTTTCTGAAAAATAAAGCTTCAAATTCTTAATGTTTTCTGACTACTCAGCAAATTTGGTTCATGATGAGGAAAGTAAGAGTTGTTGAAGAAATTGCAGCATCAGTTTATATAAATATTTTTCTTTTATTCTTATATTCAACACAAGAAATTTTAAATATCAAGCCTAAAGTATGACCGATAATCTGAAAATGAATAAAAGAAAATCTGCAAATGGCCAAATGCTCCAAAGCAAAGTACTTGTAAGTTCAAACAAACAGTACGTTCACAATTTCACCAAAATAGTTTCTTGGTGATTTATGGATTTAGCAGAGAAAGTTTAATATGATTTATGTTAAGAAGAGGATGATTTTAGCAGGTTAAAAAGTCTATTTTATTATCCCTTCTCTAGTTCAGTCACGGTAGGGGTTCAAGTGATAGTTTCTGAAACAAGCTGGGTCTAAGGGTTCCCAAAATTTAATGGGGCCTAACTAAATTAACAATAATTTTGTATCCGCATTAAAAATAAACAAAATAGCCGCCAGGGTTTTGCAGTCTCACTTGACCTCCAACAGAAAAGCATTAGGGTTTTGCATTTGCAATTGCAATCTCCAGTTGGTTACGATGGCGAGAAAACGAGAAAGAATGCAAAACCCTCAGCCTTTTCTTTCGGCTGACGCTGGCAACTCCGTCGCTTGTTCAAAGAAGCGATCCAAACCTTCCAAACACCATCAAAAGCAAGATAAAGTTAGTATTTTTTGAAGTTAAATTTATAGATTTTTTTTTTTGAATTTATGTACTTACAGTTTACTTTTGTGGATTACTGTACAGATGATTTCTTCGGGAATTAGTTCCAAGATTTTAAAGGAAGCCTTAATTCAGCAGAAGGAGGTTCTCGAAGAGGCTGAAGAGCGCAACAAGAACGCCTTTGTTTTCGCCGAAGAAGACCAGAGTAAGCGTCAAGTTGAAGAAGAAGAAGATGATATCGATGATTTTGGTGGTTTCTCGGAGACTCAAAGTCAATTTGGCAATCATGAGGTCTGTGATATGCTATTTGTTCTTAACTTTTGCATCCCAAATTGGGAACTTGCAATTTGGAACTTGTAACTGCTTGAATTGTAATATAGGATGTGACTTGTAAAATATTGTAAATATGATATTTGGTGCAAGTACTACTTTTTTATTTTTTTAATTGTTGGGTTAGTTTTCTGTAATGTTTTAGTAGTGTTGCCTTCATGTGGTTAATTTTTTTTTGTGGGAAACCAATGGGTTACTTTCCCCTTTTGTTCTTCATGTATGGCAGGAAGAGATTGATGAGGAAGATGAGCGATTACTGGAGGCATTCTTATCAAAGGATGCTGGCCCACAACTTACACTTGCTGACCTCATCATCAAGAAGATCAAAGAAAACGATGCAAACCTTGCTTCAGGTTTTTATTTTCTTAATTATCTAAGGGTAGTGTTGGTGCATTTTTTTTCCTTTTTTATAGTTTTTAGCTTCTTAATTATCTGTTTGTGTTGGAATGTGCAGAAACCCGCCCCTTGCCTAAGTTGGATGAATCCTTCATAAACTTGTATAAAGGGTAAAGTAACTATCCGTACTTTACACATTCTGTTTAAGTTCATTAGTATTATTCCTTAATGGAAAAGTTTTGAATGCTTCATAATAAACTTTTTTTCTTCTTTGAGTTCCTTTTTCTCCTAAAGCAGTGTCTACTTAGAATGTGAGAGGGATGTATGAATAAAGAATTTTTTTCCAATATAATAATAAAAATGTTGATGGCATGAACAAAATATACAGGGTTGGTGAGTTTCTTAGTAAATACACAGCGGGGAAAATGCCCAAGGCATTTAAACACATTCCTTCAACACAAATGTGGGAGGATGTCTTGTACCTTACCGAACCTGAAAAATGGTCGCCTAATGCAGTGTTTCAAGCCACACGAATCTTTGCTTCAAATCTGAGTGCGAAGAAGGCAGAACGTTTTTACAAACTTGTTTTGCTCCCTCGGATAAGGGATGATATCCGGAAGAATAAGAAGCTCCATTTTGCTCTATATCAAGCTTTGAAAAAATCTCTGTATAAACCTGCTGCATTCAACAAGGGAATATTGTTCCCTTTGTGTAAGGTATACATCTTCAAATATGTCAACTTAAGTAATATTTACGGTTGCTCTTTGGTCACAAAAATTTATCAATCACATAGTAATTTGATTTTGCAAGTCACAAGGTATGCTCTAAATTATTCATTTCTTTTTATTTCATATTTAGTCTGGGACATGTAACCTCAGAGAAGCTGTCATCATTGGGAGCGTTATTGAAAAAGTTTCCATTCCTATGCTTCATTCAAGGTATGCTTTGTACTCGTAGGTCTTCTGAATTCTTGGGCATTGTTGAAAAAAAAAAAAAAAAGAATTAAATTTTAGTGGATGTGAGGAAGGAATTACTTTAGGGAATTTAGGGTTAAGTAATGTGGTATTTAAGTTGCAAAAATTTCACAAACAGACATATGCTTTGGTGATATTAATCTTTTGGTTGAGTTTGAGCCTTGTATCTCTTTTATTTTTTCTCAGTGGTTAATATGTATATCCTTTGGTTTGGTTATATCCATGTTTTTAGTGGATGTTGTTGTTTATTAAACAATCTTTGAATTATAAAGTATAATATTATATGAGAATTGCTTTTGGATATCTATGGGTGCGTTTGGTTTATTATTTTGGATAGGATTTTGGGAATAATATTGGGTAGTTGAATAGGAGAGTATTACGAGGTAAAATTTAAAAATTTATAAAAAGCCCCTAGGTTTACTAATTTAATTAAACACCCCAACATATAAAATGACAAAAATACTCCCACCACCTGCAGTCCCAGATTCCGGCCACCACCGTCAGAATTTGGCTGGAAAATCGCGTTACGACACAGACCGGTTGGATCTGTGTCGTAACTCGTCGTTATGGCCTTTTGATATGGCCATTGGTGGATCTGGCCAAAAAAGGCCAGATCTACGGCCTGTTGTGGCCGTCGACGGCCAGAAAAGGTCAACCGTCAGCGACGGCCAAAGATATGGCCGTCGCTGACGGCCAGATCTGGCCTTTTCCGGCCAGATCCACTGTGGATTTGGCTGGAAAAGGCCAGATCGGTAAATTACCGGCTAGTTCCGGTCGGTAATTCACCGTTGTGGCAGATTCCGGCTACCATCGACGGTGGTTGCCGGAATCCGTTTTTGTTAATTTTTAAACTTTTTTTTCAGAGTGTATTTAATGAAATTAAAACCTTATGGGGTCTAAAAGTAATTAAAAAAATAGGGTAATATTTCTTGAATAATGTGCCAAACATTATTTGGAGAATAGGATTGAGAATATGGGCATAAATAATAAGCCAAACATGCCCTATGATTTACAAGAGTAAGGATGGGGGGAAGGCACGGCTAGAAACATTTTGAACCTCTTTTGATTTTGAAATTCCTTTTTTTTTTTTAATTTTACAACATAAGGTAGTATTAAAGACTTTTTTACTATTGTTACATACTTATTAGTATAAACTCATACCTCTTCCTGCATTTCCTGCTTACTTCTTTTAGTTGTGTTCTTGCTTGCTCTTGTTTGTTTTTTCGTACTTTTTCCTATTGTGTTATTGAACTTGTATATGTTTCAGCCGTGCACTTCTATGACATGCAAACATGGTAATTGTGTTGAACAAAAGTTTGGAATGGCTATTCTGAAAATTTAATTTGATGGATCTTGAGGAAAAACACCCTGAACAAGATTCTATGGAATGTATAGATGGATTCTTTTTACTAATGGAGGTCAAAGTCAATATATCAGTTCTACTGGGCATAATTGGAGTCCTACAAATGAAATTAATGTTATAAATAAAAGTACCTGTGGTAAAAAATTGTTAGGTGTCAAAAGGTGTGTTTGTTTAATGTATTGTCAATTAAGTTACCATCATACCACCAAAAAATTATCAAATTGATGGATAACTGATGGTGTCAACAGATTTATTTCATCTAGCTTTCCAATTCTCATTCAGTTCTCTATTACAAAATAAGTTATAGTAGATATTAAAAATTTTAGTTGTCAGTTGTGGTGGGTATCTGAGAAGACTCCTAGATGAGAAGTGCATTGGCTTTACATGATTAGTTAATTGATTAATATTTATTCGTGAAAATTTGCTACTATAAGATACATTTCCTGTCTATGATAGCCTCTTTATTGAACGACTATACCTTGTACTTTCAAGTTTTTTAATTATATGGGAACCATCTAACTCAAAACTTCTGTTTCAAATACAGTGTTGCTTACTGAAGCTTGCCGAAATGGAATATGCGGCACTACAAGGTATCCAGATTTTTATATCAACACAAAAAGTGTTGTCTCCGATGTGCATGTGTTTTTTCAAATGCAGTGAGTGTGTGCATGGTGTGCCTTTGTGTGCAAAAGTGTAACTTTGAGTGAGTATTAGAAGTGGAGACATGTGCATGGTATGATTTGAACATTTAACTGACCAAGAAGAGAAGTAGAAAGAGAATTGTCAGGGATAAGATATCATGGATTCTTCATATCAAAGTTCTGATTCAAAATGCATAGCCT